TGCCAGTCGGGAACCGCGATTGACAGCCGGCCACGGTCAGTAAAAATGAACGTTAAAACGATCCTTTTCTTCACTACGTTCGAAAAACTCAACGTTTAAATGGTATATTTCTTGAAATCATTTCACATTAACAATTTTCTACCATTTCTGACTCACAATCGGGAACCACGATTGGCAACCGATCATGGTCAATAAAAATGAACGTTAAAACGATCGTTTTCTCCACTATGTCGAAAAAGCTTAGCGTTTAAATGACTCATTTCTTGAAACCATTTCAAATTTATGATTTCTAGCCGTTTCTGACTGACAGTCGGGAACCTCAATTGACAACCGATCACGTTCAGAGAAACTGGACGTTAAAACGATCAACTTGTTTACTATATCGGAAAAACTTAGCGTTTAAATGGCATGCTTCTTGAAACCATTTCACATTAACAATTTTCTATTGTTTCTGACTCACAATCAGGAACTGCGATTCGCAACGTATCACAAACAGACAAACTGAACGTCAAGGTGATTCTTATTCCACTACGCTGTAAATCTCTAACATTTAAATGGTTCATTTCCTAAAACAGTTAGGACTTAGCTTTAATTCCTATTTTACACTCATAATCTGGACTGCGATGGAGAATAGATCATGATCAGAAAAACTGGACGTTAACATTATAGCTTTTAAACTAAGCTGAGACTCTTTAATGTTTAAACCCTCTTCTCTTCAGAACCGGCTCACATTTACCATTCCTTATTGACTTCAGCTCATAGTTGGGATCCGTGAATATCAGTCGCAATTAGATGTTTTTCAACATTGTTAAGACGTAAACAAGAGTACTTTCTAAAACGTTTTAAGGTGGAAGAGATCTATGCGTGCGACCATGCATGAATTCAACTGTCTCAAGCTCATAAAACACAGGATACTGCACCTCACGAAATGAAAGAAAACTAACTGAATGTTAAAATGCTCAAGAGTAACGCTTGAAATCGAAATAGACGTTCAAATATTTTGCAGAATACAACTCAATTCGAAAAATAGAAGGAAGATCCTGTGTGACATATGAAATTCTACTCAAAAACGGGAGCTCAGA